CAGGTAGAGAGACATGCAGGTAGAGAGACATGCAGGTAGAGAGACAGGTGTGTTACCTTCATGGACAGCAGGCGGGTCAGGTAGATCTCAGGTATGGCCTTGGCTCTCTCTCTCTCCCTCATGCTGCTCTTTCTGTGTTTTGGGATCTCTGGATCGTCGCTGCTCTTCACCAGGTGCCACAGACGAAGCCCCTCCTCCTCATCGCCCTCCAGCATTGGAGTTTCTACACCAACCACACACAGGTTGTTCAGGTGTCTCTGCTTCTAATGGTTTAGTCCAAATCTAAAAGTTTAACTTCAAACTGGTTCTTATATTTGACCCTTTATTTATTTAACTGACTGACTACATGATGGAGCTCAGGTCTGGTTCTCTCTGTTCTTGATGTTCTGTGAGAAGAGTTGTGTTCTTACTTTCTCCAGTCTGGAAGACCTGGTTGACTCCACCTGAACTCTGAGAACGAGGAATCAGAGCGACTGTTGCTCCATCTGGAACCTGAGGAACGAGAGAGGAGATGATGGGTTGTAAATGGAGAACATGAGAAGAACATGAGGACAACATGAGGACAACACAAGGAGAACATGAGGACAACATGAGGAGAACACGAGGACAACATAAAGAGAACATGAGGAGAACACGAGGAAAATATAAGGAGAACATGAGGATAACATGAGGACAACCTGAGGAGAACACAAGGAGAACATGAGGAGAACACGAGGAGAACGCGAGAACACGAGGAGAACGCGAGGACAACCTGAGGAGAACACAAGGAGAACACGAGGACAACACGAGGACATGAGAACATGAGGAGAACTTGAGGAGAACTTGAAAACATGAGGAGAACTTGAGGAGAACTTGAGAACATGAGAACTTGAGGAGAACTTGAGAACATGAGGACAACTTGAGAACATGAGGAGAGCTTGAGGAGAACTTGAGAACATGAGAACTTGAGAACATGAGGAGAACTTGAGAACATGAGGAGAACTTGAGGAGAACATGAGAACATGAGGAGAACATGAGGAGAACATGAGAAGAACTTGAGGAGAACATGAGAACTTGAGGAGAACATGAGAACTTGAGGAGAACTTGAGGAGAACTTGAGAACATGAGGAGAATTTGAGGAGAACTTGAGGAGAACATGAGAACATGAGGAGAACGTGAGGAGAACTTGAGAACGTGAAGCTGCCCTGTGATTGGTCCGTCGTTACCTTGTAGTGCTGCAGAGTGTTGACTCGTTTCCAGCGACCTTGAACCACTGCTGTGACATCATCATCTGACAGGGTCAGGTGACCCGCTTGACCTGAACGCCACTCTGTCAATACAGGAACACAGGTCAGTATGAGCTGTCAATCAAACTCGACAGGTGAGACAGGTAGGTGTGTGTGTGCGTACCCAGGTCCAGACTATCTGCTGCTGGTCTCTGAGTGAACGGAGCTCCTCTGTAGACCTGATCCAGGATCTTATCCTTTACCTGCTCGCAGACAAACCGGTGAGAGTTAGACAGGTAAGAGACAGATAGACAGGTAGGTGAGAGGCAGAGAGACATGTGCCTACCTGTGTGATAGTGTCGGTGTCGAGCACTTTAACAGGACAAGGTTGAACCTCAACTCCATTCTTTACCAACACCATCAGAGTCTGAGGGAGAGAGACGGGTACAGAAAGTGAGACAGGTACGGCGAGAGAGAGAAAGATACAGAAGTGAGACAGCTACGGCGAGAGAGAGAAAGGTACAGAAGTGAGACAGGTACAAGAGAGAGAGAGAGACGGGTACAGAGAGAGAGACAGGTACAAGAGAGAGAGATAGAGAAGTGAGACAGGTGAGTAGAGAGAGTGAGACAGTCGTTACCATAGAGCAGTACTCGATGTCCTCTCTCAGCAGGTGGCTGTCGTTCAGCGTTCGTTTAGCTTTTCCTGTCACAGAGTCAACCGGACCTTTATCCACCTGGTACTTTATGGCTCTGTAGAGCATAAAGAGAGGCTCACCCGCCACCTCCTGACAGACAGACAGGTGAGGGGGAGACAGGTTAGTGTTAGAGAGAGAGAGAGAGAGAGAGAGAGAGAGAGAGACCGAGAGAGAGATAGAGAGAGACAGATCAGCACTAACCTTGAGGAAGGAGTAGAGGCAGATCGACATCCAGTTGGTCAACATTTTCTCTACAACCGTCTCTGTCCTGAAACACAGACAGACAGACAGACTCATCAGTTACAGGTTAGAACAGCAGCTCCTTCCAGCTGACAGTCTGGAGACCCTAAAGGGGCCCAAGTGATCTGGATCCCGGGTGCTAGAACACAGCAGGACCCTGCCCTGATGGGATGTGGGTCCTCAGAGCCACCTGCTGAAGGTTCACAGTGCTCATCATGATGCTAACCCGAGAACTAAAGAGGAAGGCCTTTCAGCATGGACCAGCAAACATGAGGATCAGGATCAGGACTGCTGACCTGGACTGGTAATCTCGGGGTCTGGTGGAGAACGCAGGGTTAAGGACTCGGAGGAAGACTCTTTAGGTATCACCTGAGATGCTAAAGACTCTGGACATTGTGGGGTTCTCTGGTAGACCAGGGTGGTGGTTTTTAATCAATTACTAACTTATCAACTTGTTTATCCTCCCAGACTCCCAGAACTTTGGCTTCAGGAGAAGCGATGCGGATTCTGTGCTGGTCCACAGGTCCAGGACCAGCACAGAATCCACAGAAGGATTCTGTATCTGCGGCACATTTCAAGTCATTAAACATGAATCACCTGTTTATAGTTGACACATCTCACAGATAAAGGTGAGTTTGTTTTACATACCGGCGCAGCATGAGTTTGGGGTTCTTGGCGACGTACTGCTGAACCAGGTCCTGCAGCAGACTCTTCATCACCTCGGTGAAATACTCTAGTTTGTCGTGCAGAGCGATGGTGAGAAGACTGGCAACGTAACCCCGGTCTCTCTGAGAGAACCCCTGCTGGGCCTCCAGAGTGTGGATGAACTGAGAGACGGAGACAGAACACACCGTCAGCTGCCAGTCCAGCAGGTTACCCCCCCCCCCTCCGAGACCAGGTTCCATCAGCCTCACATGACACATGACAGCATCACAGCGTCACATGACAGCATCACATGACCCACCCTAGTGAGGAAGAGTCTGTTGTTGAGCAGGTTGTTGAGCTGCTGGAGGCCCTGCTCCACAGTCTGCCTCCTGGACTCTGGCAGGTCCAGCTGGCGGCTCAGCGGCGCCACCTGCTGACCCGGGAAGAAGACTCTCTCTGCATACGTCCTGTAGTCCAGCAGGGGGAGTCCTGGTCCTCCTACATCACTGCTCAGGTCCATCATCTCTGTCATCAGGTCTAAAAGCAGAAGAAGAAGAAGTTCACACCGCTCTGTCAGAGTTAAATACTCTGAAAGGTCGTCGGTTCGACTCCTGCTGGACACAAACTCACCAGGACGGACTTCTAATGTGTGAGTGGGTCAAGAAAGTTCTTAGGTGGAATAAATATATGGAAGATTGGCTAAATGGAAACGGCTGAAGCCACAGATGACTCTGGTCTTTAATAACTCTGGTCTTTAATAATCTGGCCTGCATGGAACCACCTAAAGGCCTCACACACCGGCTACAGGACCTCTTAGTGGACTTCTGGCTGCATTGGGTCCCTCAGATCAGTTTTTACCAAAAGAGCAGGGGGGACAGGGTCTGCGACACATAGGTTCCAGTTTGTCCAGAGGTTTCTCACAGGTCCAGGTGGTTTGATGAGATGTAACAAACTATTTTATCTCATTTAGGGAACCAGATTCAGGACAGACCAGGTCTGTGGAGAACAGGAAGCCCTTCCTGTTTTCATCTCTTTGGGTGGATTTTATATTCATGAAAAGAATAAACAATATGGATGATTTCATTTTAAAGTGGTTATATAAAGATAAAATGTGACCCTTAATATTAATATTAATATTCCTCAATGTTTCAGGTTTGACGAGTCAATAGTTACTAAATCCAGATTCCAGACCAGAGACAAGTCTCCAGAGACCTCCTGTTAGGACTTGATGCTGTATAAATACTTTGAGGTGAACTGAATTCAATGTGTTTGTGTACCGGTGAACTCTTTGCGACATTGATCTCCAACGTTGATCTCCAGAGTTTCCAACTGCAGCAAAACCTTTTTGTAGTCTCTGAGAGCCTGTTTACTCTTCCTCCTGCACACAAACACACAAACAAGTTAGTAATCAAGTGTTCCTCCTACACAGTAGTTCAGGACCCTTAATACCCTGCAGGGGCCCCAAGACCACATCCATGCACCTGGTGAAGATGCGGGGGGGCGAGTGAGATGCCTGGGCCCTGTTCCAGAACGGTATCTGGACATAGGGATCCCTGTGGGCCTCAAGGATCCCTGAGTCCAGACTGGTATCCTGACATAGGGATCCTTGAGGCCCACAACAACAGCCTGCTATACCGTCGGCACGGTTAACATCCTATATTTCAGAGGCCTGAGGAACTTGTTTAGTCCCCTCAGGGTCCAAAACTGGCCCGAGTCCCGTCCCACTTCTGGATAAGACAACATGGGGAATCAAACCCTGACCACCTCCCTGATAGGGGAGTTTACCAGAACAGTGGAGAGCTGCAGCTAACCTTGTCGCAGGAGGGGCACCAAGAAATTGGAACCGATACCTCCTAGGTCATTGTTGAAACCACCCAGGCCTGTGGGATCAGGACCGAGGCGAGTGCTGGGGGGGCCCCTCAGATCCCCCTGACTCCAGGTGGACGTAGTGTTGTTAAGACCGGTGCCTTAACGCACCTGAACCTCACGAGCTGATCTACTCTGATCGACTTGTTCCTGAGAGTCTTCCTGCTCTCACAGTGGATCAATGGATCAGTGAATGCACGGGGTCTGGATCTATAAGTAGTAGTAGTGCGCCTTTAACTCCGACAGACAGACAGACAGACAGACAGACAGACAGGTATCTACCTGTACATGAGGATGATGACCAGCACTGACAGGATGATGACAGCTGCTCCCGCCCCCAAACCAATCTGAGCAGCTAATGGGACGACAGACAGAGAGTCACTATCGTACTGAACCAAACCCAGGTCCACCCGCAGGTTCCCCATGAACACCTGAGAGACAGACAGACAGGCAGAGAGAGAGAGAGAGACATATATAAAAAACAATGAGAATAGAATTAATAATTATATTAATAATAATAACATTATTAACTAGAACATTTCGCAAGAAATGTTGACAGTATATATATATATATATATATATATATATATATATATATATATATATTAATGCTGGGCAAGTTAACGTGTTATTATCGCGTTAACGCATTCATTTAATTAACGCCAACGACAATTATTTTATCGCGCGTTAACGCAGTTTTTTTTATTTTTTATTAAGCGGACATTTTTAACACAAGAACCGGGCAGCGAGCGGTGAACAGCTGTTTGTGTGGCGTCTCTCCCGTCTCTTCCTGTTTCCTTCCCCTAGGTCCTAAGTCCCTCCATGTACAGCTTCTTATCACCCTCTATGTACCAACGTACATTTATAACAAATACCACACATATTACGGTAATCAGCGTTGCATATGTGTCTGACCTAAATACCCAAAAAGGCAAAAAAGAAATGATTCATTTAAATTATTGTCTTTGAGTTTTTAAAGTGTTTTGTTTGTAATATGTATAATAAGCAAATCATTTAGTTATCACTACTGACAATTTAACAAACATAAAAAACGAAAAAAAACATGACGTAGATAGGCTTGCAGTTTTCAAGAACTTTCAAGAAGTTTTAACTGCTACTGTGTAAAGGGAATACTGCTTTTAAAAAGAACCTTAAAAAGTGTTTGCAAAACAAATGTTATTGACCTTTTGTTCATATAGCAGTACTTTTAAAATAAAAGTGCGCAATACACTACTTTTGAATTCATTGTTGAACTTTGCCCATAACAATGAGATTAATCGAGATTAACATTTTTAATCGTTGCCCTGCACTAATATATATATATATGTGTACATGCCAATATATATGTACCTTTAAACCTTTACAGTATATATACTGAAAAGGTTTTAGTTTAATGTATCTATGTGTGTATATATATATATATATTTATAATCCTGCTCAGCAGGGATTCTAGGCGACGGGAGCAGCAAAGGGAGGAACACCTGGTGACGCAAACAGGAAGTCCTCTGTAGCGTAGGCCGTCTCATTTCGGAGACCGCTCGGTCCCTATACCAAAACCATGAGTCCAATCAACAATATATGGATACCGTGAGAAAGCTAAGAATCTGCCGAACGCGCTGATGTGTTTCTTATGTTTGTGGTGTTACAAATGTGAGCTGTAGAGCAATATACAAAACTGGTACCGTCTGCTTTCTTTGAGAAATGAGTGGTGAGATTTAACATGGAGTCTAATGGAGCAGTTGGTTGGAATTCATGTCGCTCTGTGGCTCTTTGAGACAAATGTGTAAGTCCGTTGGATTCCATAGACACTTTACTGCGACCAGCACAACATTTCCTTTAATTTTTACCAAAAATGTTGTATAAAGAGTAAAAATTGTGGGATTGGAAGCAATTTGTTTTTAAAAATCACAGAATACTTTTCATGCTCTGCTCCACTCTGACTGTGATGTCATCACTCTAGCGCTGAACATTTCGTGCAATACACACCCATTATAAAATCTGAAACGGACCCAAAATGTTCATGAAACTTAATCTGTGACTTCATGAAAACTGTGCTAGCTATCAAAATGTCCCTTCGGCTTAATAAAGTGCAGCGTTTTGTCTACGTTTTAAACTTTGAATAATTTTTCTACGTTAAAGTATGGCTAGTCAATATGGGCCCAAAGTTAAGTGTTTTTTTAGCTCTCTTCACGCCAAAATCCCATTCAAGTCAATGGAGAAAGTTTGCGCTGTTTTCCATGATTTTCGGGAAAACCACTGGGCGAATTTCTGAGAAAAGTCATAGCATACCATTCCCGATCAGGCCGCACGTTTTTTTCGCAGGTGTTGTTAACGCTGTGTGAGGAGAAGCGCGTCAAACTTTTGGCACGGAAGAAATAATAAACCCGCAGGATTACGTCAGTGTGCTTTTGCACAGTGCTACAAAGCCACAGTGAAAAAGAATAATACACTGTTACCTGGAGACTGGGTAGCTCGTTGCTGTCCTCTACACTCATTGGTTGGATCTCTGGAGGTTCACAGTACAGGTGAGTGTTGTCCAGAGTTTTCACGTCACACTCCTGATCTCCAAGTCGAGCCGTCACTTCCTGTCTGGAGATGGCTCTGGTCAGGTCCAGACCCTAAGAGTCGCCACGGAAACACAGAGCTCAGACATGTTTGATTTGTTATCGGAGAACCAAGGAGAACAAAGGAGAACAGAGAGAGTTTTACCTCCACAGCGATCACTCCTCCGGGTTTAAACCGATACGGGACATCTGGAGCTTCTCTGTTCAGAGGAAACAACTCTGGGTTCGGATAATACGTGAAGCTTTTACCCTGAGAGACAGACATGCAGAGAGACAGACAGGTTAACTGTGAAGGAGGAGAGAGAGAGAGAGAGAGAGAGAGAGAGAGAGAGAGAGAGAGAGAG